GAAGCTGGGGCTGGAGCCGTGATCGTCTGTAAATTTAAGGCCGGAGACCGATCTGTGGGTGATTTGCGTTTTGCCGCGGTTCGGCCTGTCGGTCAACCTCGAACCACGCAGGTTCGCTGCCCCATGGCAAGAGGCACCCAATCCTAGACGGGTCCGCTCCCTGCGCGTAGTGAGGCCTGCGCTTAGAGGTGAACAATCCTCAGGTCAGCACGCTAGTCCGCCGATTCATTGTTCTGCTTGATAAAGTTGTGCCTGTTTTTCACAGTTTTAAGTTTTCAGTTACTCTTCTGCCTTACCGTGCCTGGCTGGAGCATTCTACTCTCAAATCTTTGCTTCATCAGCTATACAGTTACTCACTTTTTAAAAAAGTGCTTGTTAGATAAGCTGTAGGAGTTGAGCTGAGTCTTGCTTCCAAAGGCAGCTCGTTTTCTTGTTTTTTTTTTTGCTTGGTACAGATAGGAGGACTGTCTCTACAGTGTTGGATTTCTCTCTGTTCCGATTTTACATTTCCCCACTTTTAGATGAAAGACTGTACTCGCCTTCCTTGTCACAGCAACACGGTGGAAACTCCTACGTACCCAGGTGCCAGAAGCCTGCTAGGGCTGCGTAACCAGGCTTTCACTACTTGACGACCCCACTGACACGCAACATCTGTAAACTTCTGGTTTGCCATGACAAACAGGTTCCAGTTTTCCTGATGAATTCCTGCATGGTTTCCACGGTGCACTACCTTAATTTGTAGTCACCATGGGACCCTCCTTATGATCCTCTCTGATGATCTTCCTTCGTACCTTGTGAAGATGAGCCTGTTACAGAATACTGGTCTGTGGAAATGACACCTGCTTGGTAAGACATTTGATGGCACTTCCATGCTGGCTGCAATAATAAAAACAACAAACGTGACTTGTTGCAAACAATTTATTAGGTAGTAATAAATAAGAATTTAGCAGAAAGAACTATACAGCAATAAGGCATATTAATACTATTGTTAAATATGCAACTGAAACACATTTTGACATTTTTCCTCTAGTTTTCTAACAAAGTGCTACGCAGAGAAGTGTATTTCTGATACCAGTGCCCAGTGATAGCAAGGATGCACTATGAAGGACCTGACTGTTGCATTGCTTACCTTAAATAAAATATAACAATCCATGAAGAGTTACTGTTACTTATGCCAGTGAAGTTTAAGTAGAAAAGTACAGCTTGCTGAGATGATTACAAAATATGTCTCCTGTTCACTTTTTTTAACTGCTTACTACTTTAATTTCTTAAACTGCACTTACTGTTAGTAAGGTCTAAGTAAAGTTACTACACAACAGCACAGTTTCTAACATTCATTTTAACTTTTATTTGAAAACTGAGAGGCAAGTGCTAATTTATTTTTTTTAAAGCTTTTTTACAAAATATTGCACACTGTTTTAGCATGCAGTTTACACGGAAGAAATAGGCAAGTGCACTTAAAACCCTGAAATACAACCAGAAATTTTAAAGATTTGTGTTATGGATACTATTTTAACGTACAAGGATATGTTTCAGACTGCATAGGGTCCCACCTTACACTTGGAACCCAACTTGCTGAGATCCAATCCTGACCCTGCAAAGAGCACGCACAACGCTTACATTAGTTTCTTGCATTATAAATCTTCATTCCTGCATCCTGCACTGCTTGTAGCCTCAAGAAACTGAAGTAATGAGTAGAAAAATTAGTTTAACAGAAGTAACTTAGTACCACCTACATGAGGTTTTTGTTACTGCAGATGTGTTGCAATCCAGGGTAAGATTTATTAAACTTTTTGAAGTCCTCTGAGTAAGATTTATTTGTAAATCTGTATCTCCCCCTCCCCCATATACACATTTTATATTGCACAGCAAAAGTAAAAATCGATTTTTTTTTAAAAACAAGCACACTAAATACTTAATATGGCTTCTAAATGATTTAAAGTATTTCCCTTTTGACATCCTCATGCAATATTTTAGAATAAATATGAATACAAAATACGAGAAAGTTAAGAGTAAAAATAAAGCCAGCTGTAATGTTTGTCAGAAACCAAATAAAAAACAGGAGTTTATCAAAAGTGGTTGCTCAAAGGTCTAACCGGTCTCTTAAGCATACTTATCAACAGTATCTTAAAAATAAAGCGTGTCTACAAAATACTGTAACATGTACAACCTCCTTGATGTTCCACAGAATGACACGAAAGGTAAATAGGTTAACTGAGACTTGCTTAGTGGCACTGGTAGTCCCGTAGTCCTCTGGGAACAAAAGCCTTACTTGATTCATGCTCGTCCAACTCAGTAAACCATTTACATTTCATTAGCTTTATTGGTTAAGCTCAAGCCCTACAATAGCTTATATATGAAACACAAAAACATTCATAAAAAGAATATATATGTTGTATAGTTTTTTTTAAAAAAATAGACCATGCAGCTTCTGTACAAAGTTAAAAAACTGTACAAATTTACTTTTCTATTGTGTAAAATTCATGTACATGGAAGTCTTCTGTTATGATGAGAAATAAGTTGGGTTTTGCTTAGCCATAAAATGCTGTTTCATAACTACTGTTCATTTCCATCATTCATTTCTTTCATTCGGCATTAACTGGCCATTTAATTTCATCAGAAGTTTTACGACGAGACCTGCCTATATAAAGGTATACAATTACATTCTAGCAGCATTTCAGAACTATGACACAATTAATTTAAGTATATGACAAATGCAAGTAGATAAACATAGTAAGTTAGAAGTTGCATCATTTTAGAAATAACGAAAATAAAGCCTAGATTCTCAGATATCAGAAAGTGTTTTTCAAAATATTCAATAGCTTCCCCTATAACCACCTTAATATGTAAGAATTAAAAGCAACTACTGTCACTTACTCAAAGCTGTAATTTTGTCACAACACATTTTAACCACTGATGCAGACTATGGGTAAAGCAAGTATTTTCCATCAGACATCCACAAACACTATCAAAAGTTGCTGGTAGCAATTGCAGTGAAGTTGCTTTATAACACTGCCTTCACAGATCCTCAGTTTTATCCAATCTCAAACTCCGCTAGTTTTGGTAGCAAAGTTACCAGCTCTAACTCTGTGATTTTCATCATATTTGGAATTATCCTTAGAGTCTGAGGGATTGGGCACACACAATAAACAGTTCCAATTTAAAAAAAAAAAGTTTACCCTAATGATTACAGATGCATTTTATGTATTTTGAACCCTAAAGGCTTCGCATACTAGGAAAACAAGCAAACATTCTGAAATATTAAAAAGAAAGTTTTAAGATCATTTGGGGGGGGGGCTTGGCTAGGGCTTCTTTTATACTGTACAAGGGTGGTCAATCTCAAGAGAGAAGAGGCATGTATCTAGTTTAGGAAAAAATAATTGAACATGAAGGATGAAAAATGACAATGCTTACCTGTTTGGTATGCACAATAAAGCTCATTTTGTTTTCCAGACTGTGGATTTGAAAACATGTATCTCCATCTCCCAACTGCCACATAAAGCAACCATACTTTAGGCTGAGGAGTAAAGCCTACA